CCGATGTCGAAAGCGCGAACAAAAACGCCCGTCGTGATGTTGCTCGCATCACCTGATGTCTGGGATCCCCGTCTCGTTTCAAAACAAGACGCCCCCACGTTAAAACTGGCATCCCCTGCAACCCGGGAACGCGTCACAAGCCAACATGCCATGGTAGACGAACTCACACACTGACTGTCAGTGGCACCGGCAGGGAGTAATGCCTCGCCCACTGAACACGGTCTCCCACAAAGAGCAAGCGTGTTACCCCACGGCAGGGGCACTGATGCCCCTCCCGCAGGCAGGGCAGACCACCGCCTCGAACAACGCAGTGGGCATCGTCTGGCGTTGCTTGGCCCATCGCAGTGAGCACTGGGCCGCCTGCCGCACAGGGCGTTGCACCGCCTGGGCTTCCAGGCGCTGCGCTGCCCCCCGAGCGCTGGAGACGACACGCTGCTCCGCATCCGCCCGCTGGGCATGCGGCCCCCCTTGCGCGGGGCAGAGGGGAGGCCAGACCACAAGAAGCCTTCCACGAGAGGCCCAGCCCGGAGGTCCCAGGAGGTCCATCGATCGACTTTCTGGCGTGGGGACGTCGCGCTCTCCACAGCGGAACCCTGGAGACCCAAGAGACCCAAGGCCCCCTGGAGGCGAGCAGGGTGCTTCTTGGCGTGGGTCTCCGCCGTGCGGGGCCGCGCGCGCGCTGGACAGGCGCCCCCCGCCCGCGCGCCGGGCACGGGCGGGGAGGGGGGGGGGGGGGCAGGGACGAGGCGAGGAGCACCGAGCGCAGAGGCGATGCCAAGGAGAACGGGCGAGGGCACGAGGAGGCCTCCCAGATGGGGTCCGAGTGGCGGTAGGCCGGGCGTGTCCTCCTACGGGCGGATTCTGGTCGAAACAGAAAACATGGTCAGAACAAAGAATCCAAAATGTTCAAAAATCATCAACAAATCTTGCCCTGACTATTTTCACTATATGTACACCCCGCAATTGCGGATAAGAGTGAGGGGGCGGGCGCGGGCGACGCGGGCGTCGTCGAGCCGTCAGACCTCGTGGCCCCCACCTGCCCTGTCGATGACGCTCTCCTCCACCTCCTCCTCCTCCTCCTCCTCCTTCTCCTCCTCCTCCTCCTTCTCTTCCTCGTCCTCGTCCTCGTCCTCATCGTCATCGTCATCCTCCTCCTCCACCTCGTCCTCCTCCTCCTCCTCTTCTTCCTCGTCCTTCCTCTCCCCCCTCGTCCTTCCATCATCGTCTTCCCATTGTCGTCCTCCCCCTCATCGGCCTCCATCATCGTCCTCCTATTGTCGTCCATCCTCCTCCTCCTCCTCCCCCTCCTCCCCCTCCTCCCCCTCCTCGTGCTCCTCCTCCCCCTCCTCCCCCTTCTCCCCCTCCTCGTCCACCTGCTCCTCTTTCTCCACATTCTCCTTACATCCTCTCTTCTTCCGCGTCCTCCTCTCGTCCCCTGTTTACTCCTCCTGCCTCCCCCTCCTTTCCCAAGATAACGGCAACGCAATCCTTTTTCCCACTTTATGCTCCCCGACTTCTCCGATCAAGGCAACTCGCCAGGGCAAAGTTGCTGGACGGGCTGGTGTGGATGCGTGGGGCTTGAAAAGGTCGTTGCGGGCTCAGACGGCATGCAAAAATCCGCCGCCGCGCTTGTGCGGTATTGGTTTGTTCAGTGAACGTGGTTTAGGTCGCGGGTGGGTCGCGGGCTCTCCACCTCCAGCTGGAAGGAATGCTAAAGCAGCCCGCCGCAGGCGCCGAAAGAATTGGTTTGTATGCCCACCGCAGGCGCCGAAAAAATTGGTTTGTACCCTGAACGTGGTCGCGGGTGGGCCGCGGGCTCTCCACCTGAAACGAATGCAAAAGATGCCTGCCGCAGGCGCCGAAAAATGAGGTTTGTATCCTGAACGTGATTTGGGTCGCGGGTTGGTCGCGAGTTGGTCGCGGGGTGGGTCGCGGGCTCTCCACCTGGAAGTAATGCAAAAAAGCCCGCCGCAGGCGCCGAAAATTATGGTGTGTATCTTGAACGAGGTTTGGGTCGAACGTGGGTCGCGGGTGGGTCGCGGGATGGGTCGCGGGTGGGTCGCGGGTGGGTCGCGGGTGGGTCGCGGGTGGGTCGCGGGGTGGGTCGTCGCGGGGTGGGTCGCGGGTGGGTCGCGGGTGGGTCGCGGGTGGGTCGCGGGGTGGGTCGCGGGGTGGGTCTCGGGGTGGGTCGCGGGTGGGTCGCGGGTGGGTCGCGGGTGGGTCGCGGGGTGGGTCGCGGGTGGGTCGCGGGGTGGGTCCCGGGGTGGGTCGCGGGGCGGGTTGCGGGTGGGACGACAACAACAAACAACAACAACAACAACAACAACAACAACAACAAGTACAGCAGCAACAACAACAACAACAACAACAACCAAACAAACAAACAAACAAACAAACAACAACAAACAATAAAAACGAGAATCCGCACCGCGGAATCCCACTTCAGCCACGCACCCAGGGACAGTGAATGACCGTTCGGCCCCCTCACTCTCATTTTTGAATACTCCTCCTGTAGAGAGACAGGCCCGACTTAAGAGTAGGGGGGGGGTCCAAGGATCGCGCCGCAGCATGGGCGGTGCATCGGCGACGTCGGCGACGCATCCGCGACGTCGGCAGAAAGAACATCGGGCTTCACATCGAGACGCATCACCGGTGCATCGGCGATGCGGCGCGATCCTCCGACCCCACCGACTCGGACCCCGTGCTTGAGCCTGCGCGAGCCTACCGTGCGGCTCGACGTCGAACGCGCATCGTTGTCGATGGGGTCCTCATTTCGGGTCAGCTGCAGAGCCTGCCCCAGCTCGTTGTGCACCTCCACCTCCAACAGGGTGCTCTTCGCGTCGGCGGCGCCGCTGCCGAGCGCGTGCCCGGTGGGCTGGTTCCCCATGGCAGCTCGGGAGCTTTGAAAGGGGAGGTGGGCCCTCTCCCTCCTCTGGTCCTCTCTTTTTGCTTCGAGCCCCCTCGTCCTCGCTCTGTGTGTACACTGTGGACCGCATGCAGCCCGCAGCTCTCAGAATTTTGCTGAAGGAGTCTGACTGTGCTCCTCAAGGGCCGCATGTACATTGACAGGTTGGTTGAGCTGCTTTTTGACAAACCACTTGTCAATCGAGCGGTCCTCCTCTTGAAAACCCCAGAACGGCATAAACAGAAGCATTCGAAAACATGCGAGGCCTGCTTGAGTCGGCGCAGTACCCCCCCCCTGTCGTTCTCAGACACCGCCTGGGGAATATGCGGCTGGCGCCGTCCCAAGGAATCCGCTTGGACCCCTGACGACTCTCTATCTCTCTATATATATATATAGATGTATGTATACATGTGTGTGTGCATGCATGTCTGTCTGTCTGTCTGTCTATCTGTCTGTCTATCTGTCTGTCTGTCTGTATGCATGTATGTATGTGTGTATGTATGTATGTATGCGTATATGTATGCATGTACGTACGTACGGATGCCGTCATGTAGGTATGTGTGTATGTATGTATGTATGTATGTATGTATGTATGTATGTATGTATGTATGTATGTATGTATGTATGTATGTGTATGTGTGTATGTATGTATGTATGTATGTATGTATGTGTGTATGTATGTATGTATGTATGTATGTATGTATGTATGTATGTATGTATGTGTGTATGTATGTATGTATGTATGTATGCATGTATGCATGCATGTATGTATGTATGTATGTATGTATGTATGTGTGTGTATGTATGCATGTATGCATGTATGCATGTATGCATGTATGCATGTATGCGTGTATGCATGTATGCATGTATGCATGTATGCATGTATGCACGTTTGCATGTATGCATGTATGCATGTATGTATGTATGTGTGTATGTACGTATGTGTGTATGTATGTATGTATGTATGTAAGTAAGTAAGTAAGTATGTATGTATATTTGTATGTATGTATGTATGTATGTATGTACATATGTATATGCGCGTGTGGATGTATATACGTGTGTGCATGTGTGTATGTGTACGTACGCGTGCATGTATGCATGCGTGTGCGTGTGCATGCATGTGTACGTACGCGTGCATGTATGACTGTATGCATGTATGTAAGTGCTCATGTATGTATGTACGCACGTACGTATGATTGTATGTGTTGGAATGCGTTTGAACGTGTGTATATGTATGTGCATTATATATACATAGGTATATCTAGATATGCATACGTGTATGAATGTGCACACGTATATGCACATGCCAGTGTAGATGCTGCTCGTTGCTATTCGAGATTCCTCCTCCCCTCCTCCACCTTTATCCTCTTCCGCATCATCCCTCTGAGTTTTGCCCTCGCCCTCTGGGACGGTTTCTCAACAGTGTTTGCGCGTATGCGTTTTTGCTTTTCTGGGGTCGTTGGATGGGTTCCCCGAAATAGCGACACGTTGCCGCCTGTGCCGCCTCACAACGGTTTTGTGGGCGACGACGCGCGCGCTTCGCGCGCGCTGAGGTCCTAGCGCAGTCCAAGTCAACTTTCCGGACTGGATAAGGATGAACATCACCCCGCAAGGATCACAATCTGGGAGCGTCCCCCCGGAGGCGTGAGCTGGTTTCGCCGTCGCTGGTTTCGACAGCGCTGGTTTCGCCCCGCTGGTTTCGCCGACGGCTGGTTCCGCCGGCGCTGGGTGCGCTGGCGCTGGTTTCGCCCCGATTCGCCCCGCTGGTTTCGCCTGCGGCTGGTTGCGCTGGCGCTGGTTCCGCCGGCGCCGGTTTCGCCCGCGGGGAGAGAGAGAGAGGCACCAAAGAGAAGGAAGCAGTGGAGGGGGGGCGGGCAGCAGGAATCTGATTCCAACGCCCCGCGCGCCGCGCCGAGAGCCCCCCGAAGGCCTCCAGAGGCGCCCGAAAGCATCCGAGGGTCCCTGGGGACTCCGACGGCCCCCGAGGGCCTCCGAGAGAGGGCCCCCTTAGGGAGGGCTTCCGAGGGCCTCCCCGCTGCGGCGCGGGCGCCGACGCCGACGGCGCCTCGCTAATTAGCGCGGCGGGCGGCGCGGCCTGGCCAGCGCGGCGGGCTGCAGCAGCCGTGCCTCGGCGGCCTTTGGGCCCGAGGCAGCGCCGCACCTCGGCCGCAGCGAAAGGGCGGCCCGCCGCCGCCGCCGCCGCCGCCGTCGTCGTCGGTTGTCGTCGTCGTAGTCGTCGTCGTCGTCGGCGGCGTCGGCGTCGGCGGCGGCGTCGTCTGCGTCGGCGTCGGCGTCGGCGTCGGCGTCGGCGACGGCGTCGGCCTCGGCGTCGGCATCGACATCGGCGTCGTCGTCGTCGTCGGTTGTCGTCGTCGTCGTCGTCGTCGTCGTCGTCGTCGTCACCGTCATCGTCGTCGCCGCGCGCTGCCGCCGTCGTCGTCGGTCATCCTTCGTCTGTCGCCGCCGGCGCTGCCGCCGTCGGCGTTGCCACCCCCGGCGTCCTCTGGCTCGCCGTGGGTCGGGCATGCCCCCCTCCCTACCAGCGGATTTTGGAAGGGAAAGAAGGAGTAGCCAAAAACAACTACCAACATAGTCACAACCAATCGTCGAACAATCATACGTGATTGCCAAGACTATTGTTTGACTGTCTTTGGATCTTCCTCCTGTAGAGGTACATGCCCGACTTAAGGCTCGCCCTCTGCGTCGCCGCCGCCCTCCTTGCCGTCGTCCTCCTTGTCGTCCCCTTCTTTGGGCTGCACGCAATACTGACCCTGGGCAAGAGTGACCTTAGGTGCACGGATTAAGTGCGCGCAAGCTGGCCAAATCCAAGCGCGCAAGCAGCCGCCATCGCATCGCGCTCGGCGATCGGGGGGACCCCGATGAGCCCGCATTAAAGGTCACTCCAGCCAAGGGTCCCTCTTACGTCTAATCGATTCTTCCGCGCCTCGAGCGGCCCGCGCACCCGCGGGCTCGGCACCGGGCGCGGAGGAGGCGCCGCGGCAGGGCGGAGCCCACCGCCGCCGCTGTCGTCGTCTTCGCAGCTCTTCGAAGGGCGAGAGCCCTCGTGGCCCTCCCTCGGAGGCCCTCGGGATGCCCTCGGGCTCCTCTGGAAGCCTTCGGGGGGCCGTCGACGCGCGCGCGGGGGTCGTCGACGCCGACGTCGTCGTCGTCGTCGTCGTCGTCGCCCGCTGCCGACGTGGTCGTTGTCGTCGCCTTCGGAGCTCCGGCGGCGGAGTGCCGAGGATCCGAGAGGGTGGGCGGTGTGTGCGGGTGCGGCAGGCCCGTGTCGTGACGGCTGGGGCGCTGGCTTCCGAGACCGCGTGCACGGTGCAGCCTCGAGCGATCGGCGGCTTTGCGACAGCGCAGGACGATCGAGATCGGCCGATTCCGGGCCACTGCCGGGGTTCAGCCTTGCACGCCCGCGCTGGAGTCGCCACAGGCCCGCCACAGACTGACGACGAGAACACGACGACGGGCCACTGGTGGGGTTCAACATCGGGCGCCGCAGGCGCCGGCCGCAGACTAGGCTGACCGTTTCTGGTGCTCGTGCTCGTGGCAACAAGGAAAGACCCGGCCAGGCTGAACTCGGCCCTGGTCGGATGAAGCCTGACCGAGTCCAGCCTGGCCAAGATCGGCTGGCCGAGATCAGCCTGGCCAAGTTCAGCTGGCCGAATCTAGCTGGCCGAGCTCTAGAAGAAGAAACAACGCCACAGACATAAACTGTTGGCGCTCCGCGCGGATTTCTCGGATCTGCGCTGGACCCCCTCCCTGGCGCGCGGAGCACGCCAGGGGCGGCGCCTGAGGCGCCGCTGGGGGCCATCAGCGCGGATCCAGAAATCCGCGCGGAGCGCCAAACGTTCATGTTTGTGGCGTTTTCTTCTTCGAGAGCTCAGCCTGGCCATGGTTCTCTTAGCCGAGTTCAGCTGCCGCCCCTCTCAGGAGGGACAAGAGCACCACTGCCGCCAGCTAAGGGGGGTGGCCGCTCCCGCCATCTGAGCTGGTGGCACCTCCTTCCAGGCACACCCTGGAGGCATGCCCGGAACGAGGTGCCACCAGCTCGATGGGGGAGGAGGAGGAGGAGGAGGAGGAGGAGGAGGAGGAGGAGGAGGAGGAGGAGGAGGAGGAGGAGGAGGAGGCACCCCCCCTGTGGCAGTGGTGCTCTTGCCTCCGGTGACCTTCGGCCTCGGGACGCCTCCAGACGCCCCCGCGGGGACCTCCGGATGCCCTCGGCGGACTCCCGAGGCAGCAGGCCAGCGCCTCTGCCGTCGTCGTCGTCGCCGCCGTCGTCGTCGTCGCCGTCGTCGTCGTCGTCGTCGTCGTCGCCGTCGTCGTCGTCGTCGTCGTCGTCGTCGTCGTCGTCGTCGTCGTCTTCGTCGTCGTCGTCGTCGTCGTCGCCGTCGGGCGTCCGTCGTCCGTCGTCCGTCGACGCCACCGCTGCTGCCGCCGTCGTCGTCGTCGTTGTCGTCGTCGCCGCCGTCGTCGTCCACTCCCTCCACCTCGACCCTGTGCGCATCCACCTCGAAATCGTGTTCCACCCCCTGTGCAATCGCATCGTGCTCCTCTTGCTCCCTCCTCCTCCTCCTCCTCCTCCTCCTCCTCCTCCTCCTGCTCCTGCTCCTCCTCCTCCTCCTTATCCTCCTCCTCCTCCTCCTGCAACCTCGCCATTTCTCCTCCCCCCCCATCCTCCTCCTTCTCCTTCTCCTCCTTCTCCTCATCCGCCTCCTCCTCCTCCTCCGCCTCCTCCTCCTACAGGATGAGCTGATGCATCGTTCCTTATCTGTCTCATTACTCAGCTGCAAACGTGCATGAACTTATTCATCCTACTCTCTCGCTCTCTCTCTCTCTCTCTCACTCTGTGTCTCGCTTTCCCCATCCCCTCTCCTAATCCTCTACATCCGCGAAAGCGTGACAACCTCCTCCTCCTCCTCCTCCTCCTCCTCCTCCTCCTCATCCTCCTTCGCCTCCTCGTCATCTTCTTTTTGACTCCCGCCTCCTCCTCACCTCCCGCTCGTCACGCTGCACTTGTCGCCTCCTCCTCCTCCTCCTCCTCCTCCTCCTCCTATGACAACGCTGCGCCTCAGCTAAACTGGGCCCACTTGCCCCGCGCAGCAATGACGCGCTCCCAATCATTATGCTGACTAGCGCAAACATTTCCCCAGCCAAAGCCCAGAGGACCTGAGGTCACAGGAGATGAGGAACGACGAGGGGGGACGACGACGAAAGAGGGCGCGGACGTAAGGAGAGGAAGACGAGGAGGACAAAGAGGAGGGGGACGAGGAGGAAATGAACGCCGGAGAGGAAGAGGGCGAGTTTTCCTCTGCCTCCCTGTCGACCTGTTCGTCCTCGTCCCCTGGTCGTCATCAGGCTCATCGTCCTCCCCGTCGTCCTCCTCCTCGTCATCACTGCCCCCCTCTTCCTGGAAGCGGAGGACGGCGAGGGCGACGACGATCTGCCACACGCATGACTGACCCCGAGCAAGAGTACACTGTGGTGCGCGGCTTGCCGATCCGACCGATACGTGCGGTGCGGCAGTAACGGCCTGCGTGCTTGCCGCGCACAAAGAGGTAAGCCTGGCGAAAGGTCACTCTTTACGTGCAGCCGAGACGAAGAGGCCAAGAAGAACCGCCAGCGCCGACACCGGGTCGGACGCAAGTGTGGGGAGTAGCAGGTTTCTCTGGCGCTTCTGCGCGGCAACAGGGCGCCAGTGCATCGAGGAGAGCACCCGGCAGTGGGCCAAAACGAGCTAAACACAGCAGATATCGTAGCCCCCCGTGCGCCTGCTCCTGCTCATCATCAGCATCATTATCAAGAGCAACACAACCACCATCAACAACAACAGCAACAACAGCAACAACAACAACAGCAGCACCAACAACAACAGCACCAACACCAACAACATCAACACCAACAACATCATCAACATCATCACCAGCCCCCTCCGCCCACACCCTTCTCCTCCAACCCCACTGACCCAGAGCCCCGAGTGATGACCCTTTCGGGTCCTGGCTCGGGGCTCCGGTGGCCGTGCGGGGCGATCCAGGTACCCGAAGCGCGAGGCGCCCGAGGCTGGGAACACCGAGAACCGACGAGCCCGCCCGAAAACCTCGATCCGACCCGACCGTCCGACCGGGGAGGAGGAGGAGGAGGAGGAGGAGGAGGAGGAGGAGGGAGGAGGAGGAGAGGAGGGAGGAGGAGGAGGAGGAGGGGAGGAGGAGGAGGAGAGGGAGGAGGAGGAGGAGGAGGGGAGGAGGAGGAGGAGGAGGAGGAGGGAGGAGGAGGAGGGGAGGAGGAGGGGAGGAGGAGGAGGAGAGGAGGAGGAGGAGGGGAGGAGGGGAGGAGGAGGAGGAGGAGGAGGGGGTCCCTTCGACTGCCCGTCCTGGCCCGGGTGCCGCAAGCACGACCCGCGCGGGCACGGCTGAGGCGCCGCACTGGGTCTGCACCGCGGACACGAGGGCCTGTCTGGCGGCGCGCCCAAGGGGGGCGGGGCTACCTCCTCCTCCTCTCCTCCTCATCATCATCATCATCATCATCATCATCATCATCATCATCATCATCATCATCATCATCATCATCATCATCATCATCATCATCATCATCACCATCACCATCACCATCACCATCACCATCACCATCACCATCATCATCATCATCATCATCATCATCATCATCATCATCATCATCATCATCATCATCACGTCATTTCGGCTTGGAGCAGGACCAGCTCCTTTCTGCATTCCGAAAGGTCCAGGTGCAGCACCACTGCTAGTGCTGAGCGCAAGCCCCGCGTGCAGCACGCTTCAGTTCCGACTTGAGGGGTGTTTCTGCGGAGCCAGCGATATCCTCGGATTACTACAGATCAGACGACCAGGCCTCCACCGTCAGGACGCTGGAGGGCAAGGTCGCCACAACGACATCGGCTGCGACGGCGGCACGCCAATGCGGCGCAGCGGCTCACAGGGGGGCTACGTCCGCGGCGCAAAGCCAGATCCCAGTCGCCAGGCCAGCACCGCAAAAGTAGCGACGACCTGGTTTGCCCTTCTTGCCCTGATGGTGCGAGCTGGATTTGGACGACCCAACCTCTCAAGCCAGGCAGAGAGAGATGCAGGAAGTGTAAGGACCAGCCCAGCTTCGATTGGACCTCCCTGCTCGGCTCCAAGGCCCTGGTACGATTCGCCACAAAAGACGGAGACACGCCAGATCCTCAGGTGGCAGAAACACTGCGATAGGCGATCGGAGCCCTCAAGGCAAAGTGTGATGAAGAAGGCGCCGTACTCTTGGCCGACAAGTTCCCTGATATTGACAATGTACCAGCAGCCCCAGCCCCGAAGCCAATCGCCAAGCAATTGGAAGATGCAGCATGTTTTTGTTACGGCGCCTCCAATCCCAGCAAGATTGACTCCGAGACCGCAATAAGGCAAGAACAACTGACCGAACAGCTTACTCAGCACGTCCACGAAGTACTGGAACATCTCATGGAAGATGAACGGCTGGGTGGAGTGCTTTGTGGTAAAGGTGGATCTACAGCAGGTGGCAAAGAAGCTGGAGGTGCACAGGAGGCCGTGGAAGAGGACGTCCCCGTTCTGGATTAACCAGAACTGGCTCCCCTGTAAAGAGAAAAAAGCGTGCAATCAAGCTGGAGCAGTACATGAGCAAGCTAAAACGGCACTGGAAACTCATCCTCGCACGACGGAGCACATAGGAAACGCCGTTCCGCGAGAAGGCAGCCACCAAGAAGCGCAGGCCGTCAGCGGAAGACGCGTGCTGAGTTCCCACGGCAAACGGCGCGGAAGGCAGCAAGACTGATGATGAGGAGAAGGCCAAGCCAGAGGACGCCAACAAGTCCAATTTCAAGAGCTCCGAGGGCATCGTCGCTGATCCGAAGAAGGTCCGCGAGAGCCAGAAGATGGCAGTATCAAACACGGCAGCTGGCTCCAAAAAGGAAGAACAACAAACGCCATGGTGATCTTCAGCGCCCCTCAGACAGGGACCTACGAGTATTGGTAGCTCATGTGGGCACGTTGTCGCATGCAGTCCGTGAATGTTGTAGAGAAGCGCCGTGCAACTACATGGGTCTCCTGGATATTCGCCTTCATGGCAAACAGCTGAAGGATGAGCAACGATACCCACAAGGAACGGGCTGGCGAACAGAGTATACGGCATCGGCAGCGACACCCACCAGAATCAAAGGCGGTTCAGGTGGAGCAATGTGGGCAATAGCACGCACATTCGATTCCTTCTCACACTCCATGTGCAATGGAGGTGACATCATTTTAGACAAGCAGCTCCAGGACATCGCGATCAACATGGCGCGCCTCAAGCATGTCACGGTAGTTTTTGTTGCAGACTCCCTCACCTCGGATCCAACGGGCTTGGCGCTGCAAGCAAATATCAGTAGGCTGACTCGGCTGCCGGCGGCGGTACGTACGTTTGGGGTCATTGTGGATTGCTTCCGGCGGCTTCAACACCGCATCTGCCCAGCTCAAAGCTACTGTCTGGCACCAAGCTTTCAATGCTGGGTACCTCATCACAAACTGTGATTTCATGCGTGCAGGCAGCTCGGGACGCATGATTGATTGGGGATTACGTTCATCCACTTTCCTGCCACTAGCCGAAGCAGTTGAGCCAGTCTAGACAGCTCCTTGGCAGTCACACGTGGGCATCGAGATTACCTTGCTTTCACGATAACGTGCGCCAGACCGCAGCTGCCAGCAGCCATCGAGATCCCAGAAGATCACATCATAATAGAGAAATGATTCAAGCTCAAGAAACACGACAGACAGCGATACGGCCAGTTGCATCACACCGAGGATGGTGAGACCTTGGCGACAGGATTGTATATCCATGACCACCACCTCCTCGACCAGCACTACACTAAAGTCATCCCGCGCTCAGCAGACGACGAGAAGTGAGAGCACCACGAGAAGATCACCACGGACATCCCCGTCCTACCAGCAGGTCATGAAGTACAACAGTGTATGGCATACCCCTCTACCCTATTGCCTCGCCAGAAGAGGCGGACATGCACGGCCGATGCGCAACGGCAGTCGGATCATCGCTTCTCCAGTTGGCCGACACTGGCTCATCAAATGGTGAACGACGAAGGGACCAGCCGCTTCGCTACAAACTTGAACATATGATTAGACAGCCAGACCCACTCTACATCCGATCAGGTACGCAGCTAATGGAAATCGATGCATGGATGAGTTTGGCCAGCCAAATACAAGTTCTGCGAAACAAGATGGGCGTCGATTTCAAGAGAGAGCGGGGGCCCGAAGGTCAAGACGAGGACCTGACAAGAAGCGAGACGAATGAGGACCAGCAGCTGGCTGATCCCATCAAAGAACTCGCGCGTGCTCCAGCATGCCAATGCAATCCTGGAGCCAACATTCCTTACGGCTGCGACCTCACGGCTCACATGGCCCGTGCGAAGCCGGTGCCAGCAGCGCGACACTACATGGATGATTTTGATTATGACTTGTTCCAGGGCGTGGAACAAGAGCAGGACGGCGCCATCGAGCAGAGTACCCAGTCATCAGGCCCCACGGCCTGGGACGCGTACTCCCCATCGGCGCGAAAGCACCGACAGCCAGGCGGCCAACGGTTACCCCGCGTCCCCTGGCAAGAGATCCATCCCCCTGGGAGGATCGGGTCTACAACGACAGCAGACCCCATGGCCTGGGAAGTGCATTCCCCAGGGGGGGTCGGGCAGCACGACGACGCAGACCCCATGGCCTGGGACGTGGCTTCCCCCAGGGGGGTCGGCAATCTCATGGCCTGGGAGGTGCAATCCCCAAAGGAGATTGGACCGTCTACTGCTTTCAAAAACCCCATGGCCTGGGATGTGGTTTCCCCAGGGGGGGGGTCCGGAAGCCCCACGGCCTGGGAGGTTCGTTCCCCAGGCGATGCCGAGCGGCACAATACTTCCATGGACCACATCCACACAGCGAGGCACAACGGACTCTGGAGCCTCATCGAGACACTGATTGACACGTTGCTGCGTATGGGAGCTGAGGAGGAGGAGGAGGAGGAGGAGGAGGAGGGCAGAAGAAGAGGAAGGGCTCCTCCTGAAGCTCCTGGGGTTAAGGTAAGCCTCCTGGACGAGATGAGCCCGATGCTAACCCAAGTACAGTACGAGGCACGGTTGCCCGGTCCAGGGCAAGCGAGGGGCGTGTAGGATCGAGCCGAGGAGCCTGCATAATCTCAGTCAAGAGCCACATGTTCTGAAGAATGAATTTCAGTCAGAGAGTGGGCGCAGAAATCCCTGAAAGCCAACCTCCAGTGTGCAAGCCGCTAGATGTCGCGCGCGGAGAAGAAGGAGCTCCACGACACAACCCTGCATAGCGGCGATATCAATGGAGACCCGCAAGGATGCGTCGCCGCATACAGATGGCATGGCCGCTTTGCGGCGCCGCGCTAAAGAACACATTGACACAGCATGGGAGCCCTACACCGTCCATGACATCTACTTAGTCATCCAGCCTATCCCAAACCAGACGGCGATGGCAGCAGACCAGCTATCAAGAGCAACGCTGAGGGCAATCTCTCACACGGGGCCAAGCAGAAGTTCGCCGACGTCCTCAACACCTGCATGTCTGAGCTGGCATGGCCACAGAAGTTCCTCAAAATCTGGATATGCTTTCTTGCCAAAGCGGAGGCAACGAGACGCCCAATTTGAACAGAAGCCGGCCTCCAGCCATATATCCCTTGCACATGTTCAAACATCAGACCACTCGGAAATTCTTGGTCGTAAAAGAACCACCCTCCATTCGCGTACCTGACGGAAGCTTTTTGAGACGAATGTGCGCGGCGCTGCGGCGACAACCATTGTTGGAAACGACCCCCTCCATCCGGGCTCCTGCCAGACACTTTTAAGGCGAACGTGCGCGGCGCTGACTGAGGCGAACACAACGTCTCGAACACGACCCCCTCCATTCGAGTACCTGCCGGAAGGTCTTAAGACAAACGTGCGCGGGGGCGGGAGCCCCATGTTGAAAAGGACCCCGTCCATATCCACGCAACTGCTGGGGGCTTCAAGTTCCCGGGGGCCAAAAGCGGAGGCGAAACCTCAGACCAAAAGACGGGCCCGGGACAAGTCATCCACAGTGGAGGAGCAGGAGCTGAAGCAGGCGGAGAAGGAGAAGCAGGAGGAAGGAGAGGATAATGAGGAAGGCGGAGGAGCAGGAGGATTGGAGGAACACAACACGCCATAGACATAATTATTCGGGGGTCCGCGAGGATATCTTGGATCGACGCTGGACCCCCTTTCCTGGCGCGCCGAGCACGCCAGAGGCGGCGTAAGAGGCGCCGCCAGGGGGGCCCAGCGCCGATCCGAGAAATCCGCGCGGACTTCCAAGAACTCATGCTTATGACCCCTGTTGACCTTCAAAGGAAGGAGGAAGAGGAGGAGGAGGAGGAGGAGGAGGAGGAGGAGAGCAAATCAGACCAGATCGACTCTGGGGGGCCGAGTCTATGAGTCACCCCGTGCAAAGGGAGGAAGACAAAGAGGAGGAGAACGGAATCCCAAATCGGGGGTCCCAGCACCATGTGGGGAGAGACCGCGCGGTGACCTCTAAATCCGCCGACCAAGTCGGCGTGTGCGAGGCTCTTCGACGCGAGGAAAGCCCAACCCAATCTGAGATACGCCAACCTCCTTTGAATATCGTCGTCGCCGTAAAAGAGATCTAACAATGTCCTTCCTTTTGTCCCTTCCCCGCTTGGGAGGGGGATCCCGGGGGAGGAGGGGCCCGAGGTGATCCTGGGGGGGGGGTCCCTGGGGGGGGGTCTGCAGGGTCCCTGGGGGTGTTCCGGGGGGAGACTGAAGACTCGGGTACGGGGGACTCGGGTTGGCCTGACGGGGACCATCATAAAAATGACGAGACCCAATCTGAAATTTGACGCGGGCTCCCGTTGCAAACATCCCACGAAAACGGGGCCGTTCCAATCCAGGACGCGCTCGTCAAAAAAAAATCGGCAAACACGAGTTCCGCTTTACTCGAGTCTTACGTTTCCCCGATCCCTGTCAGCAGGGCCCCCCGCCTCGGCCCCAGCTCCGGCACCGGCACCGGCCGCCGCGGCCTTGGCCCCGCCCCTGGTCCCGGCCCGAGCCCTGGCCCGCAGGCTCTGGCCCACGGCCCCGACCCAGGCCCCGGCCCCGGCGCCTCGGGCCCCGCCTCCTCCTCCTCCTCCTCCTCCTCCTCCTCGGTCTCCTTCTCCTCCTCCTCCTCCTCCTCCTCCTCCTCCTCCTCCTCCTCCTTCTCCTCCTACTCCTCATCCTCCTCCTATTCCTGCTCATGCTCCTCCATGCTCCGTGCTCTTGTTCCCTGCTCCTCCTCCTCCTCCTCCTCCTGCTCCTGCTCCTCCTCCTCCTCCTCCTGCTCCTGCTCCGTGCTCACTGTTCCCTGCTCCTCCTGCTCCTCCTGCTCCTCCTGCTCCTGCTCCTGCTCCTGCTCCTGCTCCTCCTCCTCCTCCTCCTCCTCCTCCTCCTCCTCCTCTTCCCTGCTCCTCCTCCCCCTCCTCCTCCTCCTCCTCCTCCTCATCCTCCTCCTCCATTCATTTTCCCTGGGAGTCACCCCTCCATGTCGCACCCCGAGGCCAGTCGAAAGAGCGGGCCAGGCGTTTGGCCCAAGACTTCCCCAGAAGTTGCGATTCTGAAGCTGATAATTTGCAACCATGTCACGTATGGAGGGCTGGTGGTTTTCAACGTGTGGCTCTCGATTTTCCGTCGCGAACATTTTGTTTTAAGCCCCCAGACCAGGACGGCGACGATGCTTTTTTCTCGTTGGCACTGCGTCGAGGCAGCCAGTCCTGCCTGGTGGGGAGGAGAGACCCTTCACCAGGCCCACAACTCCCAGACCAGCGGGTTTTGGTGAAACCCGCGGGTCTGCAAAAACACGCCCCCGCGGCGTCGCCTGGCGGTGCTGCCTCAGGAAATAAGTGGTCACTCGCCCCTGGCGGCCTTGTCCCAATCGTCGATGGTCGGCCATACGGGATCACAAATGTGCCACTGCTGGTCGTACAGGTCTGATACGTCGCCCCTGGATGCCTTGTCGATTGGGTTGTCGTCGGTAGCGACGCGCTCCACCCATGCATGCAAGGCCCGCTTCCTGAAGAGCTCCCAGGTGTGGTGCGTAATAACGTTCATGGCCAGGGCCGAGCTGGTGCCCCGGATCAGGGTCCCTTTAGCTGCTTCGTTGTCAATGAAGCAGATGAGCATGCCGTCGCTGAGGTCTGGCCAGGTACTCAGGGCCAGCAAAGGCCCGACAGCCTCCACCTCGTTGATGTCGACGCCCTTCTCACGGCGCTGCCAGGCCCTGCGCCACGCTGCCGGCACTCGGGCTCTTGTCACGCGCGGCCGCCACCCCTTGTTCCTGGGCTGCCACCAGCCCGCGGCCACCGAGCCCGTCCCTTCCCCGTCCGTAACGACGACGTGGAACGCCATCTTCTCTGGCATGAACGGGATTGGCCGCCCCACCGCCTCCACCAGGATACGCTTCCAGAACAGAAGAGCGCTGCGGAGAGCCGGGGTCAGGCCCACGTGCTTGCCGTCGTACTGCCGCTCCGCCAACGGCCGCAAGGCGGCGGCTCCGAAGCGCCCGAATTGGAAGCTTCTCGCCCAGCCGAGCTGCCCTCGTAGTGTCCCAGCCTCTCCTCCAGTGAGTTTCTCCCTCTGCAGGACCTGGTTGATGGCCTCCACGATGGCCTGGACCTTCGGCGGGTGGAGGGCGCTGTGCGGGTCGCCCTCGCCGACGTAGTGGAGGCCCCCGAGCAGCTTGAACCGTGGTTGGGGCCCGGGGCATTTCTGGAGGTCGATCCGCCAGCCCACGAGCTTGTTTAACTCCAACCACAATCGATGCGCCTGTTGCCCGTACGGCGCCGGCTCAACGCCCCAAGCGTCGTCCGTGTAGTGTGCCACCGCTATCTTGAGGAGCGAGCGGGCGATTGCAACCATGGCCGCCGGGTCACGAACGTAGTTAAACTGGCTCAAGGCCCCGCCGAATGGCTGGCCGTAGACGTCCACGACCACCACCTTCTTGTTATCCGGGTCCCAAGTGATCTCCAGCGTGAGGTCGGCCTGGTCTGGGTCCTTGGGGCACTGGCGGAACGCCATCTCATAGTCGGCGCGGTGCCCTTCCAGCGCCCGCTCTGCCCCGCACATCTCCTTCCACTTGCGGGTCACTGCCCAAGCCAGGACCAAGTCCTCCGGCGTGTATCTCTGCCGGAGGTCTACCGTATCATTCCCACCAGAGCGCTTGAAATCGCTGATTGGCCTGGCGGCCCATTCCCCCGTTTCCTTCAGTTCCCACTTGGGAAAGCGGGGGGTGAGGCACACTCGGTCCAGGTCGAACTCGTCCAAGCTGCGCATAGTCGCGTACCCGCGGTCTACCTCCTTCTTGACCTTGGCCCAGGCCAAGGTGTCCAGGGTCGGGTCCCGCGGCTCGCAGACGCCCCGGATCATGTCGAGATTGCGTGCCCGCGGTGACCTCGCCCACTGGGTGACCGTGGTAGTGGCCCTCGAAGCCTGCGGCGGGTAGAGGCCCGTCGTCAGCAGCCCTTCTCCAAGCATCGGCCGACCCTTGGTCAGTGTGTCCATGTAGTCCATGTCCTCCTCGTAGTGAATCTCCTGGAGCAGCCTGTTGAGGAGCGGGAGGTGCAGGTGCCCAATGACCCGCCTGACACGCGGGTGCAGCCGGGCTACCCAAGCAGCTCGCTGACCGTCCAACTGCTGGGCCAGCCCGCGAATCCACTCCATGACGCCCTCCCGGTAGCCGATGATGGCGCGGTCCATGGAGCAGATGGTCTCCATCGCATCTACCAGCCGCAGCGGTAGCTGCGGCGGCGTCTCGAGGGGTGCTTGACCCTGCGCATATCTTCGAGGAACGCACTGGGGCCGCCACCTCCTGCTACGAGCGGCAGACCAACATGGCCAATGGGCTGGTCCCCCGTGGCCATTGCTCGCGCCAGGCGCGCCGGGTCGCGCCCCCGCGATGGGTTGATCTGCATGTCTTTTTCCAGACTGGCGGGTTTTGCTGAAACCCGCGGGTCTGGGTTTTCTCGCGTTCTATTGTTCCGCCCCACGTCTCTGGCGGGCGAGACTGCTGCTTTCTGCTGCCTCGGAACATGCCCCGAGAAGGGGGCGCTGCCTTCGGTGGCGTCATGCGCAGCTGGGCCTCGCCATACCTCCGGGGAACCCGAGGGCCACCTCTGGGTGCCCTGGGCCCCCCCGGCCGGCGGCCCACGCCCTCAGAACGGCCTCGTCGGGGGTTGGGTCGGGCGGTGCATGTACCGCGGGTGGGTCTTCGTGCAGCCCGGGTAGTTGCAGGTGTGGACCTTCTGGCAGGACTTGTTGCTGCAGCCCTTGGCCTTGTTGTACTGCGCGCAAATCTCGCGGCCCTTATACTGGGTCTGGAGGATGAAAGGCGGCTCGTTACGGGGCGTGGCACCTCCCTGCCGTCTGTCGTCACCCTGGCGGGGCGGCGTCCGGCTGCGGTCCCGGCCGTTGCCCTTACGACCCCCTTTCCCGCCACCTTTGCTGCCTCCGACGTCACCTTCGTCATAGTCCCTCTTGCTCTTGTTGATGTCGGAGAAAAGGTAGGCGCTCTCGGAGCGGTGGTGCGAGATTGCCGCCGTCAGGGTGGAGAACTCCCCGCGGCCATAAGCCAAGCCCCACATGGTGCGCATCTGCAAGTCTGCCTCGATGACCCTCTGCAGCTTGTCCCTGGTGCGGGGGCCTTCGTGCGCTTTGTCCACCACCCACTCGTGGCATTGGAGCAGGCGGGTGAGGTCCGCTTGCGCCCAGTCTGGCCCCGCTGCATGAGCGTAGGCGACCATGAGCATGAGGTGGCGCCTGGTGAACTGTACGAAGCCGTTGACCGTGGACTCCTCCGGGATGCTCTGGCCGCCTCTCACGTTGCCTGAGTTCGTCGAGATCCCCAGGAGCACCTTCCCAGCGTGCTCGGGGCCCTTCTCCAAGATGCTCCGGACCTCGCCCAGGCGCGGCACGTAGCGCGTCTTCTTAGTGAAGAACTTGACAAGGCGCCCCATCGTCGCGTCATCCACCAGGAAGGTGTTGGGCCACTGAAACCTGAAGTACTCGGCCGTCGTGGTGTCGAGCCTCTTCCTGTCCTCCGTCGAGAGGACGGCCTTCTGGTCGATATCCTCGCCGCGTGCCCTCGCCTCATCCTCCGCCTTGGTCAAGGCCAGTGCCCGACGAAACGCCGTCTTGACAGGTTGGCATGCCAAGGGGTCGGTGGCGACGATAGGGGCCCCAGCACCCTGCAACGTGGCCGCGATGCTCTCCTTTGAATCTGCGCGGTCGGAGAAAGCGCCCACGACCACGACGCCCTTGGCGATCAGCCACTTCGCGATGTCCTCATGCACCCTGCATTCCTCGAGAAGGTTGCGCAAGCCGGGGTCCAAGGCCCGCGCGGTGTTAACGGAGTACGCCGCCATGGCCGCGCAAGTTGCACAGGTCAGGCCTCTCCGGGGACGCAAGGTCGGAAGGCTGGTTACCTTGGCGGGGATGGCTGCGGTCTGGGCGCCTCCCCCCCCGCACCTGCGGCATCCCCCGTTCAAGAGGCCCCCGGCCCCCCCCTGGCGTTTTTTGCCAGACCCGCGGGTTTCGCTGAAACCCGCGGGTCTATAAAAACACACATTTTTCTTCCCTGGCAACGAGATGATTGCACCTGCATTCTAGCTCACCCCCCTGACTCAGATGAGGAGGTGCTCGAGCTGCTCCCTGGCTGACTGGCACTGGCCTCCGCGCCACTCGCATCGTCCTCTGGAATCTGCCACTCAGGGATAGCGACGTCAACTGGGGGGCCGAAACACGCCCTGCACAAAGTCCGGTCGATGCCAGTGTCGTCCGGCGACACCACCGTGAAGTGGGGCTTGCTGCTGAAGTCTTTCACGTAAGTGCACTTGCTGCGCGTGTGGTCGGTCGGGTGGCTCCTGTGCATGAGCGCGGAACGCTCGTTCCAAATCCAGAACTCCCCCGGCACTTGGTCTCGGGAGGCGGTCTGCGCGCTCGCGGGCGCCACGGCGCCCGCTGCCTGGCCATGCCCTTCGGCCCTTTCGTCTTGCCGCTCCTTCTCTGGGTCGGCTGCGCTGGTGCAGGTCTGGCTCGAAGCCGCGCAGCCCGCACCGAAAGTAGGCACTTCGAAGCTTCCCGCAGCCATGAAGCCCCCCTTCATTGCGTCCCGCACGCGTGCTTTCACCAGCAGCTCGGTGCAGCAGCGGGCTTGGTCGCACTGTAGGGGCACGCGGCTTCCCTCGGCCCAGTGCCCCACAGCGGCTACCTCTTCCCGCGAGCCACCTATCTGGCGCACCATTGCTGGCATGAAGAAGCGTGGGGAGTGGGGCGTGCACGGCCGCTCGGCACTGGCCACTCCTGCTCTGCGCAAGACCCACTGCAGGATGCGCAAGCAATTGTGGTAGGAGCCCCTCCGCGGCGGCACGGTAAGCTCAAGCCGGTCGCCCGCGGTGTGCTCGACGTGTGGCCACGCCCACTTCCTGGGGGCCTCGGGGTCCGCCTCCGGGGTGAGGGCCTCGGTGAGTGCCAACCACCGCCCCCCCCAGTCGCGCCCCCTGGCGTCGTGCCGCAGCGCCGCCCACGGGGTCGGCGCGGCCTTCCTCTTCATGCGGTAGCACGTGCCGAAGAGGGCGTCTCGGGTTAGCCCAAGCCGCATGACCTGTGGAGGTCGCCCCAGCGGAGCACCGCGGAGGCCAGGCATATCACGAAGCCCGCGACCCGCTGCTCGATGCCGGCGGCCCCCCAGAAGGCATCGTGGAGCTTGTCCATGATCGCCTGCGTGAACGGCTCCGCCTGCACGCGGCCCTTCGCCGCGGCCCCCCGCGCGTCCGTCACGGCGGTGAGCGCCAGCTCGTCGGCAAGCGGCCATGCGAAGAGCAGCGCCTCGTCCCACCAGTGGAGGGCCGTGCACGCTGCCCCAGGCACCGTCTTCCCGCGCTCGCGCAGGCTGTCGAGGTAGAACTTGAAGTCGATTTCGGTCAGGCTGTCCATAGCGCGGCCCCGGGCCGACACCCAGTCAACGAAATGCCGGACCCACCTCACGTGGCCGGCCACAGTCGCTGCCACCCTCGCTCTGCGCCCAAGCAGCTCAATCAGGAGCTCCCGCTGGTCCCCGACGGATAGGCCGCTCGCCTCCATGCGGCGGCACCTCCCGCTGAACGCCCGCACCTCCCCCACGAGGCGGAGGGCGTTGTGGAGCTCTCGCTGGCGCCTGGCGTCGTCTTGTGTCTCCTGGTCCCCGCTCTCGTCGCCCGCGCCCTGCGCCCGGCGCTTGCGGTGGGCCCTCGCCGGCGCTAGCGGTCGGTAGCGGCCCTCCGCCAAGCGCGGCGGGCCCGCCTCGGCCTCCGCCGGCGCGCACCGCCGCCGCACCTTTTCGACCCTCTGCGTGGCGACATATGCTTCCTCGGCCTTCCCCCGCGCAAACGCTCAAAAATCCTCCGGCGGGGCAGGGGTGAGCCCAAGCGGGGGCTCCCCGGCCCACTCGTCGATGAGGATGTCGAAGGCAAGCAGGGACGCAATACCGTGCTCACCCAGCCATGCGAAAATATCATCATTTTGCGCCTCTCCCGGCGCGACGTACTCGTCCACCGCAGACTTCAGGCGCGGCGACGGCGGCGGCGGCGGGCGCCCGCCGACCTCCGGCGGATCGCCGTGCTCGCCGATGATGACATCGATGCGGCACTGGTCCGCCATCTGGAGGGCCCCCCCCAGTGCCCGTCTGCCTCCGCCAAGCGTTTGGGCAGCAAGCCTGGGCGGGAGCCTCGCGGGCTGCCGCTAACCGCTAGCACCTGCTACCCCTAGCCCAGCTGGCCAGAGCGCAAGCCCGCGGGCGCGGCACCCGCAGGGGGAGCGTGCAGCCGCTACCCGCTAGTACCTGCTACCCCCAGCCCCGCAGGGTCAGGGGGCGCAAGCCCGCGGGCGCGGTGCGCGCGCGGTGGTGCACGGGGATGGTGGTGGGTGTTCCTGCCGTCCTGGCAGCTTCTTGAGCCCAGACGGCTACGGATCCGTGCAGTCCCTTCCTGGCAGAGCGCCCTCCCGGCTGAGGCTTAGACCCCCCTAGGCCGTGTCCCCCCAAACCGGGTAGAGAGGTAATAAGCCCCCAGACCAGGACGGCGACGATGCTTTTTTCTCGTTGGCACTGCGTCGAGGCAGCCAGTCCTGCCAGGTGGGGAGGAGAGACCCTTCACCGGGCCCAACGTTAACCTCCTTCCCACCGGAGTAGGACCGACCCCAACGCAGTACCCGCCGTCCAGGCTCCGGGGGTGTGGGATTCCCGTGCAACTAACCAGACCTGCGGGTTTCCCGGGAACCCGCGAATCTGGCAGTCGCCGGGCGTCTGGGGGGGCCTCGCTTCACGTTGCCCCGTCGGCCCGCGCCAGCCCCGCAGTCCTGGGGGGGGCAGCTGGAGGTTTCCTCCGGCGGGGAGGGGTGGGCAAACCCTACGTTTTGCCAGACCCGCGGGTTTTGGTGAAACCCGCGGGTCTGGCGCCACGCGGGTTTCCCCCCACGGGGGGATGGGGTCGCCCCTCCTGTTTTCTCTACTAGCGGCCCGGTCACCGGCGTGGCG